CCATTAGCTCTATCTCTTGCCTAAAGGAGGCATGTTGAGATGCTAGGGCTGATTCAATCAGCCCTTGGACCTTCTTTGTCCAGATTTCCGGTATCTCATCCGGAAGGGTAGGGGTTGAAGAGCTATGGAAATGAAAATTGGTTACCTGATGAGGAGATGATGTCCTTTGGAAGAGTTGCAAAGGAAGAGATTCAGCATCATCTTGTACATCTTCTTCATCAGTGACCTTTAGTGTCCTCTCAGATTCTCCTTCAGCTTCATCAAGTGCAAAATTTGATATGTATCTGGAGAGGGAGTCACTATCTTCAGCTTCATTTGGTTCTTCAAAGATGGTTATTGGAGTTTGAGAGACCTCCACTTCTGCCATCTGAGTTTCCTTCTCAGTTTCTCCAGAGTGCCTTTGGACTTCTACTGCTTTCTCCATGGCTTCTTCCGGAATTTCTGCTGATTTTTCCAGAATCTCAAGTTGTGTCTGATTGGAGATCTCACAAGGAGTAGTGAGGATCTCGAGCACTTGAGATTGGATCAGTCGCTGAAATTCTTCTTCTTCAGTTGCTTCCTGGTTCTGCTCTTGTGGGGGAGAGGCTGTCTTCTCTTGAACAGTTTCAGTCAGAACCATTTCAAACGCAGGTGAGGTTTTCGGAAAGATAGGGAAATCCTCAGCTGTTGCTTCCAAAACAGCTATTTCTTCAGAGGTGAGAGCCATTTGTTCTTCTGTGGCTCTAGTGAAGACTGGCTTGAAGACAGCAGTGTCTTCATCATCTGCTTCACAGTCTGAAACTGGTGTGTTGGCCAGGTATTCCATGTGCAGGTCTTCTGGGTTCTTTTGCCATACCCAGTAATCATTCAAAATATCTTCACAGTTGTGGTTGACTGGAATACCTAAGCACTTCTAGATAATCTTCTCATTCTTCAGCTGTTGGTCCCAATCCAACAGTTGCTCTTCTGAATTTCCAACTTTCCAAGCTCTCCAATTATAGTAGAGCTGACAGAATTTGTTGTCAGCATCATCTGTATGAGGCTGAGATGAGGGGGTTGGAAGGCTTGGGAATTGAGGAGTTTCTTCTTCAAACTGTTGAGGACTCCGGTTTTGAATAGAGGTTTCCTCAGCAGTTTCCTTCTCCTTCAACTCATCCGGATTGACATTTCCAGATGTTGATGGAGAGTTGATCTTTCTCTTTTTCTTCCTTTGAAGTTCTCCATGGTCAGAGACTTCTTCTTCTTCTTCCAAACATGCCAAGGCAAGGTTCTGTGGTGCTTCAATACTAATGGAGGGAGACACCACTTGCTTTCTTTTGGCAGTCTTTGCCATATGGATGAGCAGGACATTATCTGATGAGCTTTCTTCTGCAGTGGCACTAGCACTGGCTCTGTTTTCTCCTTTTGAAGACAGATAGTATAACCAGTATCTTTCTCCATACTTCTTTCCTTTAGAAGCAATACCCATAGACTCCAAAATATGTCCAAGGTATAGTCCTTGACAGAGATATTTCTGGTTGGGCTTTCCCAAATGCTTTGAGATGGAATTGAAAAAGTGTGCAGCCCAGTTTACCTTAGTTTTGGTAATGAGAGCGTTGATGATGAAGGCTCTCTCCTGGGTGATGTCATCGGTGTGACCTCCACTTCCACATTCGAGGCAAGCGATGACCAATTCCAAAATCAACTTGTAATCGTTGTTTAGATCTACTTTCTTCGCTAGGCCAGACGGAATTTGCCCAGAGATTCCAATGATGTTCCAGTCCAGATTTTTGACTAGAAGTTTTCCAACTTCAACTCCAGAATTGGGAAGGCGAAGCTTTTCTCCCAATTTCTTTTGCGAAAGCTTCACCTTTGTACCCCCTACAGTGGACTTGATAACTGGAAACGTCCTTTGTGGGTCCTTCTTTGAATGAGCAGTCTTGACTTCTCCATTCCTGTAGAATTCAAGAACTTCTTCCTCAAATTTGAGGCGAATCTCCATTTGAAGAAATTCGGAGAGTTCTTGAGCGCCTATCATCTCCATATAGCTTTGGAAGAATGTCGATGAAGAGCACTTGGCCTCTAACTTCTGGAAATGAACATTTGCTCCGACAACCTTCATTTTCTTATAAATTTGGGTGAAAATTTGAGAGAAAGAGAGGTCTAGGGTTCTTGCGAGTTTGAGAATTTTTCGCGAAGAAGATGAAGAACAGTGAGTGGGCGGTTGAGATCTGAATAGTGGCGATTGGGTTTTTAATTTAGGCGAATTTTGCGGCTAGTGGCGATTGGGTTTTTGACTATTCCCAAGGCCACGTGCCTACCTAATATATTGAAAGACGTGGAAAGTGAACTGCCACGTGTACCGCACTTAGTCTAATTGAATTAGACCAATTTTGTGAAGCAAATCGGAAAACTTGACTTCACTTAGTGGTTTTGTGAAGATGTCCGCCAGTTGTTCTTCAGTTGAGATATACTCAATTTTGATATCTTTCTTTTCCACATGATCTCTGATGAAGTGATGCTTGACATCAATGTGCTTAGTGCGAGAATGATGCACTGGGTTTTGAGAGATGGCTATAGCACTTTGATTGTCACAAAAGATTGTCACTTCCTTTGTTTTGACTCCATAGTCCAGTAGTTGTTGTTTTAGCCACAAAATTTGAGCACAACAACTACCAGCAGCAATGTACTCTGCTTCTGCTGTTGATGTAGAAATGGAGTTTTGCTTCTTACTGAACCAAGAAACAAGATTTCCGCCAACAAATTGACAAGTACCAGATGTACTTTTCCGGTCAACTTTGCATCCGGCAATGTCAGAATCTGAGTATCCCACTAACTCAAATGAATTGCTCTTAGCATATCACAGACCCATGTTCTGAGTTCCTTTGAGGTATCTAAGAATTCTTTTAGCTGCTATTAGATGACTTTCCTTTGGCTTTGACTGGAATCTGGCACAAACACCCACTGCATATGAGATATCCGGACGGCTTGCAGTAAGGTAAAGTAGAGATCCGACAATTCCTCTGTAGAGAGTTTGATCTACATCCTTTCCATCTACATCCATATCAAGCTTGGTGGATGTACTCATGGGGACAGAAACGGATGACTTCTGATCAACTTTGAACTTCTTGATAAGATCCCTTGTATACTTGGCTTGATTGATGAGAGTGCCTTCACTTCTCTGTTTGATTTGAAGGCCAAGGAAGTAGTTGAGTTCTCCCATCATGCTCATCTCAAATTTTCCTTGCATGAGGGTTGAGAACTTAGTGCAGAGATTTTCCTTAGTTGAGCCAAATATGATGTCGTCCACATAGATTTGAACTAATAGGAGATCTTTTCCTTCTTGTAGTTTGAACAATGTCTTGTCAATGACTCCTTTAGTAAATCCATTGTCTATAAGAAATTGAGACAATGTATCATACCAAGCTCTTGGTGCTTGTTTGAGTCCATATAGCGCCTTTTTGAGTCTATACACCTGATCTCCCTTAGTGTGTAACTCAAATCCTGGAGGTTGTTCCACATAAACTTCTTCCTCTAGGTTTCCATTGAGAAATGCGCTTTTGACGTCCATTTGATAGACCTTGAAGTCCTTATGAGCAGCAAAGGCTAGAAACAGCCTTATAGCTTCAAGTCTAGCAACTGGAGCGAAGGTTTCATCAAAATCTATGCCTTCTTCTTGACAATAACCTTTTGCAACTAACCGGGCCTTGTTTCTGACAACAACTCCATTTTCATCCATCTTGTTCCGGAAGACCCACTTTGTCCCAATGACATGTTGATGAGTAGGTCTAGGAACAAGTTTACAGACGTCATTTCTGGAAAATTGGTTGAGTTCTTCTTGCATTGCATTGATCCAATCAGAATCAGCTAGAGCTTCTTCAATATTCTTTGGTTCTACTTGTGAGATGAAACAAGCAAGCATAGCTTCCAGATTCTGTTGGGCACTCCTTGTGCGAACACCAGATTGAAAATCTCCAATGATCTGTTGAGGAGGATGATCCCTTAACCAACAAAGATTGTGTTGATTGGGATTGACTGGTTGATTTAGTTCAGCTTCTGGTTGAAGAACAGAGGTTGTTGGTGTTTCCGGATAGATTGGCACTGGGTCGCCATTTCCGGAATTGTCGTCATTTGAGAGATCCGGAATATTGGAAGGCTGGCCAGAATTTCTGGAAGGCTCAGCACTGTCTGAATCCGGATTTCTCTGTGAAGTCTTCAGAGGCAGACTTCCGAATGGAATGAATTCTGTGGGCTTCATACTATCTCTTTCATTGACTTCTTCATCCTTGTCTGATAGAATCAGAACCTCATGATCATGCTTTGATGGTTTGTCAACCACATGTTTTTCATCAAAAATGACATTTATTGATTTTTCAGTGATCATGGTTCTTTTGTTGAAGACTCTGAATGCCTTGCTTACCATGGAATATCCTAGGAAGATGGCCTCATCTGATTTCTCATCAAAAGTGTTCAGATGATTCTTCCCGTTGTTTAACACAAAGCACTTGCTCCCAAAAATATGGAAATATGATATATTAGGCTTTCTCCCGTTCCACAGTTCATAGGGAGTTTTGTTGTGCCTTTTATAAATCATACTCCTATTTTGAGTATAGCAGGCTGTGTTAACAGCTTCAACCCAGAACCTCTTTGGTAGGGAAGCTTCTGCTAGCATGGTTCTCACTGCTTCCTTCAGGGTTCTGTTTCTTCTTTCAGCTACACCATTCTGTTGAGGTGTCCTTGCTGCGGATGTCTAATGAAGAATTCCGTTTTCTTCATAGTAGTGAATGATGATTTCATTCAGGAATTCTGTGCCTTTGTCAGATCTGATCTTCTGAATGGTCTGACTTGCTTGGTTTTGAATCAGCTTCATGCAGTTGGTGAGTTTCCCTTGAGTCTCCTTCTTGCTATTGAGGAAGATTGTCCACGTGTATCTTGAGTAATCATCAACTACCACCAGGACATATTTCTTTCCACTTAGACTTATTGGTGTAACAGGGCCAAATAAGTCCATGTGAATAAGACTTAATATCCTTGTAGTTGAGGGTGCCGATTTTGCCTTGAAGGTGGACTTGACCTGCTTTGGGGTTAGAAGGTTTTCTTCTGAAATTATTTCCTTTTTGAGGTTTGTCCAGCTTCCTATAGTTCTTAAGAGGGATTACCTTTTTGGGAACTTCTGTTGGTTTCTCCTTTTCCTTTCCTTTCTGCTTATTTGGTTTGGCAGTAGGTTTAGGAGGGATGAAAGTTGTTCTCCCTTTTCTTTTGGAACTGGAGGGGTCAAACCCAAGTCCTTCACGATCCTTATGTTTGGTCGTTTCAAGAAGCTTATCCACTGCTTCTTTGGACTTAAGTGTCCCTAGTTCTTTGTTAAGGGATTTCACCTTTTTAGAGAGAGATTCATTTTCAGTCTTGAGTTGAGTGATCTCATCCAGTTGACTTTTCCGACCTTCAGTCAACTTGAGATTCTCTTCACTCAATAGTTTGTTCTCCTCTGTTAAGGAAGAATGTTTGAGATTTATTTCCTCAAAATCTACCATCATCTTTTTGAACTGGTCAAAAAGATTTTCAGAAGTTGGTATGCTTTCATAAGAAGATGAGCAGGAGGTTTGTGAAGTTACCTCTTGATCAGCATCATCTTTAGCCATTAGGCAAAGTTTGTCATCTTCTGACATAGTCCACCTATCCTCATGGTTGGACTTTTCAACTCTGCGCTCCATGTAGACGAGGGCTTCTTCATCTGAGCTTGAGCTGGATGACTCATCACTTTCAGCAGCAACCATTGCCTTCTTTTTCTTCTCATTCCTTTCTCTTTCTCCGTACTTCTCCACCTTTGGATACGGGCATGCTGACTTCCAGTGGCCAGGCTTCCTGCAGTTGTAACACAAATAAGATTCAGGAGGAGAGTCACTTACCTGTGGCTTTCCCTTTGATGGCCTTCTGACTGAGTCAGCCTTCTTGAAGAACTTTTTGAATTTCCGGAATTGCTTGACCATCATGGCAAATTCCTCATCGTAGTTCTCCATTTTTGAGTTTGGCGGCTGGCTGGAGGAAGGTGTGTCACAGTTCCTTGGGCATGTCCCTTCACTTGATGGGACTCTTGGAGTTGTCATCAGTGCCGTGGGGAAGGGAGTGACTTGTTCTTCCTTCTTCTTCTTCAGCTCGTGCTCATAGGTTCTGAGCTCATCAAGAAGTCCTTGGACAGTGTAGTTTTCCAGGTTTCTTCCTTCTTCCATGGCTGTGGCTTTGGTGTACCACTCGGTTGGAAGAGATCTCAGCAACCTTACATTCTTTTCTTTGGGAGAAAGAACGTGGTTAAGTGAGGCAAGATCATTCAAGATTTTGTGGAATCTTTCATCCAACATATCAAATGATTCTCCGGGAAGCATTTTGAAGCCTTTGAACTTTTCAAGCAGGACTTCTATCTTCTGCTTTCTCAAGTCCTCTGATCCCTCACATAGCTTCCCAAGACCTTGCCATATCTCCATGGCAGTCTTGAGATGCTTGATTTTGGAGAAGGTGATGGGATCAAGTGTTTTGAAGATGGTTGCTTTGGCGACGTTATCCAGATTGTGCTTTTTGCAATCTCTATCATCCCATTTTTCTTTGGGCTTTGGAATGTACTGGACTACATCTGGAGTTGCTGGATTCCTCTCAGGATTCTCCATTTGGATTTTCAAGGGTCCATCCTCAAGCACCATCCACATGCAATCATGTAGAGCGTAGAGATATGCTTCCATCATGATCTTCCAATCATCATAACCTAGAAGAGAAAACTTGGGCAAACCGTGATCCATATTGTTCACCATTTTGATCGCTTCTCGTTAATCTAAACGTAGATAGTGAGAAGTTTGCTCTGATACCAATTGGTGGTCCCAAAGTGGTGAGATACAAAGTCTAGAGGGGGGGTGAATAGACTTTGTTACAAATTTGAAATCTTTTTCGTTTCTTTTGAAAACGTGAAAATAAGTGTTAATCTAGAGTTCTTGTGAACTTTAAATTATGTGCGGAATTTGGTGGGTAGAGTGAGCAGTAATCAATATGGATGGGTTAGTTTTCACAGTTA